GCTACCATGAGTTCATTGAGTTAGAAAGATTGCATCTAGATTCCTTGTACGTGGCACGGGAGCACACCGTGTCTGTTGACGCGTCGATGACAACCGCAAGCTAACTCCGTGAGACCACACGTTTGTTATCCACCGCGAGCCGCGGGAGTCCCGAAACATCTGAAACGGAGGAGTGAAGTAACGGATCAGGGACAAGTGGGGCTCGCGTTGTCAAGATAGCGCACAGCGACTCGACAACTTAAATGACATTTCTCAACGCGAGCCCAATCCGGTCAGCTAATCTGGCTGACTAATCACGAGACCGCCGGCCTGAAAGTAAAGGCTACTGGTTATTATTAATGCTGAGGCTCTTTTCCCGTCAATCCGAGAACAAATGATTTTGAATGGCGGAGCAAAGTCGTTCAACCGATTCGGCGGGTTCTGACCATCTTCTACTCCCTCGGACGTCCGCTCCCAGTCCATTGAGACTTTCCTTCGATAAGAATGAGGACGGAATTCTGGCGTTTGACGGAGTGTGGATCGACGATGCTGGGATAGAGTTGGAAGCGATAGCTTCGTCACGATCGAATCTCTGCCATGCATTGGTATGTAATAGTTAATGTCTCGAAGCAAGACGCCTTCGCAATGTATTCGATACTACTGTTCGAGAAAACATCACCTATGGGAGCCGCTAATCATGTGTTGTACACTATTCTTGGTCGTCGAAATCAGTAGGGAATGAGGTAAGTAACATCCGAGGTTAAATTTAGAATTCGAATTAGACTCACTCTAAGCGTCGATCATATTCGCCCATACAATCGAGCGACACCACTCATGGTAAGGTTTGGAAGGATCTCTCTCTACCCGTTGCACACTTTTCAGCAAATTATCGACTTTCCTCCACGGTTGAAATGAGCTTCCTTCGGAATAGCCGAGCTCAAAAAGAGAGTTCCGGCAAAGCACGCTGAGAAGCTCCACCATGTTCGGAATACCGTCGTCGTCCAGGCACGACCATGCGATTCCCAGGTACTGAAACCTTGAAGGGTTGAAGGAAGGAAGCTGAGCTTCGCTTGACGACGGTGGTTCTTGATTGTTCGGCCTCCACGGGAGTTGAAGAGACTTGGTAGTGGGTTCGATGTAAACCTCTAGCCTTTCTAGATTTGGAAACACCTGGGCAAAGTCTACCAAGGATATTGCGTGAACTCCAACCTGCCGAGCTCCGAAACGCCCTGAAGGTAGCGGTTGTAAACGAAGGTTCCGCATTCTTGGAAAGCTGCGACCGAGCAATCGTACTTCGTTTGAATCCAATTGGACGCCTTCAACGGACAACAATGTGAGGTTTTCTAGACTTGATAGACCCAAGAGTGGTTTGAAGTGGTCAAAGCTCGACGGCCCCCAAGACATGGGACAGGGAAGCAGCTGGAGAGAGGTTAAGTGGGGTGTTTGTCGGACAATGTCTTGCATGCGAGCGTTGAAATCTTCGGGACCATCTGCAAGTACTCTGACGGAGAGATCCTCAAGCGTAGCTGGCAGCGCGGAATACACGAGGGATTGGGCGATGTTGGACTGTGTTGGTAGGATGTAAGACGGTGGACCGGGTATGTCAAGCGTCTTGAGTTTCGATTGAGCTTTTATGAACGAAGCCACAGAGTGTAACGCTTCGGTGGTGACCTCTAGTAACTGGAGAGTGAACCTCTCCAGAACCAGACCTTGAATACTTGAGATCATGTCGAAGAAACGAGGGATCGTGTCTCCTTCATCTCCAGCCACATATTCGCCAACGTGGAGTTTGAGGGCATTGAGCGAAGAATGTCCGTGGATGAATGGGACGAGGTTCTGGAGGGTTATTATATCATGACTGGCGGACCACTGAATCTCGTGTATCTTCGGCAGAAGCGGGCCGAAGTCCGACGGCTTCAGGGCGAGAAGCGCTATGCCAACGGCCGACGAAAGACAGCTGGAATACAGCTGAGAGGGATGGTCCGGATCGGAATCATCGTAGTTGAGAATGCGGACCCGCCGAGCGCAGTTTCGAAATCGCTCCCATTGATAGCGCTCGATCCTCTCGGCAAATGCCTGTCGCGACCAGCGTGCACCGGAGTCTCAGTGACAATGGAATCAGTCGAAATATCGGGAAGACAAACTCACCAGACCAGCATTTGTCTCCTCTAGCCGTGCTAGGAGCCTTAAAAGCGGGAGAACAGACGGAATGTCTCGCCAAACCCAATCCAAAGCGACGTCACACCACAGGCTTGATACGCGGGCGGCCCTCGCTTGGTCTGGTTTTTGAGCGTATCGGAGAATGTTACCAAGGATCTCGTGCACTGCAAGTGCCCGGTGCATCGGTCGTCCTTTAGCGATCGTGATTGACCTGGGAATTGAATCTTGTTTCGTTTTGAATCCGTCAGTCATCAGAGCCTGGTCTACAAGGTTCAAGCTCACCATCAGACCTCATACAGTAGTCAGCCTCCATGGGCCTCAGTGTATCTCCTCCAGGAAGTTCTGCGAGGAGAAACGTGTGAAGGATTTGCTTCGGTTCAAGTTCGAGCCTCGAGGGGGAAGACGCCGAAAGTGCTGGGATCTCGAGGAGACTGGGCCGTAGAGAAAGTTGAGCGTTAGTAATGCAGTCGCCAAATACAGTATAGAATTGAGTGTGCACGCACTGTATTGGATTTACGACACTAGAGAGGGTGATTGCCGCTGTTGAACGGAGTTGAGGTGATCTCCCCGCTCCTCGTCACGCGTGACGGGTCAAAACGTGACAAGGCACGTGCTGAAACAAGCCACAGATCCGTTTAAGGACGGATGAGGACAACTATACGAGCTGATTAGCTCCGGAATTCTCATTTCATCGCCCTATTCTCGCTAATTTATATTCATGAATTTCGATTGATCAGCTGTTGTTAAACACTTCTAAGTTACGGGATCTGGCAACGAGACTCTCCGACAATCGTGCTGTTGTCCGTAGATTCGTGCAATTAATCAAGAGCTAGCCAGGACTAAAGGTTGTCTTTTCTCTCGCGAAGTCTTTGCCACATCTCGTCGTGCTTGCGACTCGGACACTGCGGTTGAGTGCCGACCAAACCGGACGTAGTCTTGAGACTGCACGCCGTCACTGTTTAGCTATGCTGGATTGATTTTTATCAGGATGAAGAAGTCAACACAAAAAATAAGAGCTGACGTATCCGTCCCTGCTCCACTGCTGGTTTTAGCTTTTAGCTTTAGAAGATTCTCGACGTCCCACCAAGTTTCCGCGCTTCCGCCGTTCATTTTGTTGCCCTTTCCGGAGTATTCAATCTCAAAAAAGGGGCCATTGCAGACTTGATGCAAGACCTCGGCCATTGAGGCTACATTTTCTTCCGGTAGAGAAGAACTTCCAATGTCCAGCATCTTGAAAATCGCAGGGTTGAGTCTCTTTATTCCTCGATGCTCTTCTTGCACAGACGTCGAGGAAGAGGAAAGCTTTCCAGAGTCTTTGATTTTTAGAGAAAGGATCTGGAGACTAGGAAATGCTTTGACGAAGCCGGACAGCGCGCTTGCTGGCATGGTGATCGCAGGGTAACCTGTGAAGGTAAGCCGGAAGTGGAAGCGGACCATGTTTGGCAATCCCCCGCCCATCACGAGAACATCTCTCTGGGTGAGACTTATCTGGCGGTATGTCCATAGGGATAGCTCTTGGAGGTTCGGAGTTTCGAGGAACGGAGAAAGGTCGTCGAGTTTGGTAGGACTCCTACCCATCATGCCGTTGAATTTGTAAGGATGAGTTTAAGGACGGAGATATTCGACAGTCTTCTGAAGTTTCTTTGAGTTTTGGATATGAATTGGGTCCGGTCAGAAAAGGGTACTTGAATGTAGAGCTGTTGTAGTCCAGTTGGTAGTCTTGAGAAAAGCGTAGCTTCCACTTGTGACCAGTCAGACGATATCGCCAACGTCTTTAGGCACTTCTGTCCGCTGACAAAGGATGAGATATGTAGAAGTATCTCTGTTTCGGCTGCCGATCGGACAAATGTGAGGATCTCGAGTTCAAGTCCACGGAGCGCACTGAGGGAATCGAGAAAACTGGCATGCGACCTCTACAATCGCCTTTGGATTTGAGGGGTAAATATTTGGGGCAAGACTTTCGAGTGAAGGGGATATAAACGGAAGCAGGTATGGGAGATTAGGCGGAATGTCGTTTTGCGGCACGGTCCAAGTGATATGCTGAATGTTCCGTAATAGACCGCCTGTTTTGGAAGGCTCATTGGCCAGCAGCGCCGGGACCTTTGAGAGAAGAGCGGTCTGGTCGGGGTACTTGGCGCGATATGCAAGGTAACTTGCGATACTGAAGCGGCGAACGCGCCCGGCGTAGAATTCGAATCGGTCCCAGACACGAGTCTGAGCGTTCAAGTCTGTTCCGCTCTAAGGTAAAAGCATGTGAGGTGCAGGGATACCACAGCACGGTCAACATTTGTGGCTCGCCAGCTCTTCCTCGTCTTCCAGGAGAGGACCCAACATGTCCAGAAGCGGCGATAGAGACTTCGAGCTCTCGCCACAAGTGGTCAGACGCGATGTCTCTCCAGAACTGCGAAACCCGAGCGGCGACAGCTAGATCGCTTCTTCCAAGGCTTTGAAGAGATTGACTGACGATTTCATAAACTTCAAGCATTCTATGGGGTTCTTGTTGTGTTTTGAATGCACCAGAGGCAGCACCTGAATGGGTAGTCAGCAATACATCCAATTGAGACTTCATTTATGAATGTTCCACCAACTCTTACCTAAGCTAGAGAAGACTCCACGCATCTCAATGTTGAGTCCCTCACCCTTTCGTACCCTAGTGAAGGATGAGAGGAAGAGAGGTCGCTTGCTAGAAAACTCGCCACGAAAACCGTGAGAGCCCATGAATTATGCACATGTTGCGGAAAGGGGCGTGAAGGTATCGTTGAAACCATTGGGAGAAGATCAGTAACCTCGAGCTGTCTACAAGCACTACGTACCTAGGATAATGCATCCTGCACCTTCGGTAAAATCCTAGTAGGCGGTCAAGCACCTTGACGCAGTGGAAGCGTGCTAGGCTCATAACCCAGTAGTCGGTTGATCAAAATAGCTAGGTGCTATATGTACGATTATTTTCTACCCTTATGAGCAATTTTACATCGAGCAATAGGTCTATGTATCTCCAGATCCGCCAAACAGTTCGTGCAGCGCCATGGATAGGAGTCATTTATTCACGTCACTTAATCGACATAAACTTGAAAATGGAATGCAAAAAGAGACACCTGGGACTATGAAGACAGTCTTATAACAGGAACAATATCCTCCAACTCTCCCTCCTGAAGCCACCCGGCAAACGCGGTTCCTTCAAGTTCTACCTCCTCGAGCGCTTTGATTCTTCCTTCGGTCATCCGACTTGCCTCTTGCGCGGAAGTTACAACACGTTGTAGACTTTTCTTGAGACGTCCGGGTGAACCACGTTCTTGTTCAATCCGACGGAAATCCTGCGGAGCATTTGGATCCAGAACGAGGCGCAATTTCCTGAGCTCAGGAAAGCAGTACTCGCTGTCAACACTGGTACGGGAAGCGTTCCTGCCATCAGCAATGAAGTGAATGATCTCGCTGAGTGTGGTGACGCATCCGGTGACTTGTAGTGATTTCGTGTTTCCGAGGTGATTCGCCGCGAGAATACCGAGATTGCTCGCACTGTCCCATGTACCTCTAAGATACTCGAACTGAAGCGGAGGGCAGACGGGCCGCGTGACAGGGCCAAAATAGTCCCTCATAATGCGTTCGGCGTGTCTCATGCAGCTATCGTTATTTTGACTCAGCGTGCCGCGGTCCATAATGATACTAAGCTTGTTTCTAGCGTAAGCAAAGTCGAAAGTGCTGTGACTGAGTTGAAGGTTGATTGGATGGGGATGAAGAGGGAATTCTGCGTTGGCCTGCTCGAAGAGGCGAATGAAGTGCGTCATGAGAACTGGGCTTGGATCTATTTCAGCGACTTGGAGTAATGATACGTGCAGCTTTGCTGTATTTGGATACTGGAGGAGCTCGAGAAGCTGATACACGGAGTAGTCTGGTCGATTGTCGCGGAGGATAAGGTTTTCGAGCGAGGGAAGCGCTATATGGGTACCGGAGCTCTCTTGAGAGCTTGGGAATATAATACAGTGTACGACGAGAAGCTCGGCCAGCGCTAGGGCGCCGTGGAGAGGTGACAGAAGCTCATCGACGGTGATTCCACGGATTCGTGTCAAGACCAGCTTTCGCAGGTTAATCGGGCTTGCGTCACATCGGAAACGGGTGCTGTGAACCTTGAGTTGTAGTAGTTGAGAATAGATAGAAGAGGTGATGAAATGGCTTCTATTCTGAGACTTGATACTCATGTGTCGAAGATTGACACATCCGGGCGCCTCCAAGTACTGAGGAACTGTGAGAGGGCTGCTGGAGTAGACATTGAGCGAACGCCACCTGGCCGAGTGTTCAAGAAAGATGGGGACATATGGACAGGTCTTGCGAAAGAGTCGGTCACAGAAACAAGATATGCCAAGGTACGACTCTTTCGATCTCAGTAGTTTCATTGAGAGCCCTTCGGGGGAGTCCAGGCATGACAAAGTGCCCCAAAGAGTCGCCATATCGTCGATTATCAGCGACCATAGACGTGATACCTGTCGAAGCTCTAGCATAGCTTTGAGCCGTGACTTCGACAGCTTAAGGTCTGTCAAGACGTGGTTAAAGACCTGGGCAAGAATTTCTGGTGGAAGGCGATGAATGGGACCAGGTGTGGCGTCGTTCAGCTCCAATTGACGAGGCCTTTTGGACAATGGAAATAAGCTTAAAGGTAGGGAGTAGCAATTGATGTCAACCGCTGAACCGACTGTGCCACCTTCAGTCGACCTACTTGGAAGTAATGGCAAAAACGGCGAGTAAACATCCGAACGTCGATATCAAACGAACGGAAGCTTGGATCGAAATCACGTGTATAGAAGTCGTAAGCCGAGGCAACCGCATTTTGTAAATCTTCGATTGGATAGATACGTAGTGATGAGCGTGATCTGCGTGTCTAAGTGCAGAGAACGTGTGGTTGGTGGAGAGTTGAACAAGGGAAAGAGCACGTGAGGCATGTGATGATATCGAGTAGCATTGGATTCCAAGAGAATTTGAAGACTGGATCGCAAATCTCCTGCACCGACGGTTGGAATATTCAATATAATAAGATGACCCGCTCTTCTTTTCATACGGCAGGAGTATTCTGCATTCCTTTATCTCGGTGCACGGCAAATGACCGGTCAACAACCCTCAGGAAGGGGTACGGCTTTAACGGACGGCGATAGTGGCGCAGTCGCAAAGGACGTCAGGGTGCAAGACTCTCGGCCACCACAAGAAACGCGCCAACCTGAGGATTCATCACCCCGTCCGAAATACTGACCACAGGCTCTTCAAACAATCACTCTTCACATTGACCGATATACCGAATATCTCAAAGCGTTCGTAACTTTACCTCTCCGATGCCATCTCGAAAGACACCCCGAAAAAGGCTGGTAGATGGAAGCGGTGGATCATCCTCAGAGCGTCCGAAAACCGAAGTCGTTTCGTGCATCTGCGGGAATGGTGAGCATTCGCGTGCTCTCGAGTTCAACTGGCCGGTGGGTGTCTGACGTAGCGAGCTAATTAGACACGGAGTTCGAGATGATGATTCAATGCGAAAGCTGTTATGTCTGGCAGCATGGCAGTTGTCTTGGACTTGCAAAGGAGGAAGACTGTCCGGAGGAGTTCTACTGTGAGCGGTGTCATCCGGATCCTCATTCGCGCAGTCAGTGAGTATACGGAATGCGTATGCAACGAGTGGTGGACGGACACCAATGCGGTTCCTTAGACAAGAGACTTCATCAGTCTCATCGAGCAGACCTCGGCGTCCTAAGGCCGATCGAGCAGACAGACAGTGCGGGCCTCATCGAAGACATGGTTACCAAACGGGTTCTAAACATCGCCTCGTCCTGAGGTGAGTTATCTGGAGCATTTCACCATTTCTTCAACTGGACTCAAGTACGTTTGGTCTCAGAGGGACCGGAACACCGCCTCAGCAGGACGTCGGTACCGATACCCTACCGACAGCTGCAAGCGGGAACAGCTCCGCCGCCAGGGAGGAGACACGAAACAAACCAGCGAGCATCGCTCCAGCCGAATTCGAAGCGCCCAACATGTCAGCTCCCGATCCGCCGTCAAGCTCCAGCCAACTAAGCCTCTCGAGCGGAACGAAGCGGAAAATCAGGAAGATGCTCCGTCTTGCAAACCACGCCCAAAGCATCTACCAGAAGGAAACCGAACGATTCGCGGCACTGGAGGCCTTTGCAGCACGAGCGTCAGAGGTCCGATTGACCAGTCGCGAGCACGAGTTTGATCGACAGTTGGTTTCAGAGATCACGGTCCTCCGAGAAGTGAGGGATCCAGCTCTCGTTGACCTGGAAGCACAGGGCACTCTGAAGCTCGCAGAGGAGCTGAGAAGAGACGTCTCGGAGTTTCAAAGGAGGTTTGGGGATGGGAAGGGATCGAAGTCGCTGCGACAACAGGGCGGTCAAAAAGGCGCTTAGAAAGTCTACGTCAGTTGCTATAAATTACAGGCCGACTGTAAATAATGAAGCAAGGCGTAAGGATTTCTGAAAGGCGTCACGACAGTCCACGCGTCTTTAAGTACTGTGTATATGTGGGTAAACATTCAAATCGATCATGCTGAGCATTAGGTGCATCGAATAATCAATATTTGGCTCCGGATCGGAGAAGAGTCCGCTGATCAACTCTGATTGCAGCCAGCGACCGAGTTACTGAATAGTTCTTTCGTAGTCACGTGAGTGGCGTCCGAAGTCTGTTTGCCACACAGCTCCAAACTCTCACCTCCGCATCAACCGTCCTTCGGAGACGAAGCTTTCAGAAGTGAGCGTTGAAAAACACAGACATCACTACCAAAGAAATAAAATGATCTCCGACAGCTTCGACTCGCGCAGGTCATAAAAGGACGATTCTCTTTCTATCGGGCTAAAGAAGACTACGAATTCCCTACAATCTCAAAGACCGTACGCTTCCGGCCAATGTACCAAGCTGTCGCGGAACGCGAGATCATTAGCAACATTCTTCGACTCACTCGAACGCGTGACCAGGCGAGAGCCGCCCGAGTCTCTAGCGTTTGGTGCGATGCGGCTTTGGACTGGATTTGGCGAGACATCCCGTCTCTACTCCCGCTCCTAAGAGTCTTGGCGCCTTTGGACGATACGGGTAATGGTATAGTACGCTTAAAGCCTCTCTTGCATAGTGTGGTGTAATGGTAGTTGATGAACAGCTTGTTTGTCCTGCTGTTCGGGCCGACAGACTTTCGTAGGGATAATCGAACCACATCGGTGGAACCGCTTCCTCAACTGCGCTCGACAGGTCCGTTCTCTGTCCTACGACGACAGCGACCCTGACGCCCATGGACAGCTTTTCGCGACCTGCATCTCATCGGAAGCTTGTATGACGCTCTTTGCTCTCAAGCCACACGATTTCGGTCCGTTACTACCCAAGATCCACCAAATCCGGTGGTCAGTTAGCCACGACATTGTGACCCTGCAGAGCCTCGTCACATTCCTTCACGGGAGCTCTTCACTCAAGATTCTGGAGACCTCCTTTAGCGACTGCGTAATGGAAGAACAAGGAGACATGATCCCCATCTTTTCAACCTTATCTCGAGTCTACAAGGTCTCGCGCTGGAGAGGCTTGCTATCGAAGTACCGGACGTCTCGACGGAGACGCTATACAGCCTTGCTTCTCTCATAAAAGCTCAACCGATAATGCAGTCACTCGATATACCTGGGCCACTTGCGGACACCCCAGCTCAGACATGCAATCACGCTCAATTTCTCGTCTGCACCTCTCTTCCGGCGACGCTAGAAATCCTCTCATCGAAAGTCATCGTACGGGGTCCAGATGATTACACAGCTATCGCAAGCGAGATTGCAAGGAAAGCGCCAAATCTTCGCTATCTCGGACTGCTTCTTTGGGGCGTGTCCTCCTGGTGGCCATCCACCTTCGCAGAACTCAAGCCTCTGCTCGTCCTATCGCAATTGGAATCGCTTAGCCTGTACACCCAAAC